TCCAATGTTAATGTTGAGGAATGTAGTTGTGTAGTAGCACGTGGGCTGCAGAGCCGGGGGGTCATCACTATAAATCTATGATTGCGCCCTCAATAAAATTTTGGCTCCGCCTCCCCTGTAACAATATGGGACGAAGCAAGATTTTGTGTAAATGTGCTAAACGTTTTTCTTTTTTTTTTAATGCAGACGTCATTATTAATGTCGATTCTTGGGGAGCTACCGCTTTCAAGGGGTGACATCAAAGTTGCTGGGAAGATCGCTTATACTTCCCAAATGCCTTGGATCTTCTCGGGAACAGTAAAACAAAACATTTTATTCGGCCAAAAAATGATCGAATCAAGGTACAAAAGGGTTATAGTGGCATGTGCACTAGAGAAGGTGAGTTCCTGAAGCCTTAAAGTGACTTGAACTAGTTTATGCTTCAATAGCTGCTCATCTCAATTTAGGACATAGAATTGATGCCTGAGGGAGATATGACGTTAGTTGGAGAAAAAGGCTTATCGCTTAGTGGTGGACAGAAAGCCAGAATAAACTTAGCAAGGTAAACTTTTCATGGCCAATGAATGGTATTTTTTGTTGTTTATGTTTTTAATTTGTCCAGTTTGTGAATATTTTTCTCACCAAATATTTTATCCAGGGCATTATACTATAATGCTGATATCTATCTGCTTGATGACCCACTGACCGCCGTGGACGCTCGTGTTGGAAGACATATTTTCGATGAGTGAGTACATAGTATAAATGGCCTAACAAGAGATACTGCACACCTCTAAGATATCTGTTGATTACGATTATTTTTCATTTGTTTTTAGATGCATTCAGGGATTACTCAAAGAATGCCCAACAATCTTAGTCACACATCAATTGCAATTTCTCAACAATGCTACTCAGATTATATGCCTGAAAGAGGTATGTTGTGCATTCTCTATAGTTGAGATATGTGTCGGTCTGTATATTTGTAAGTGTTCTTTATTCTTTTAGTGTTTGTTTCGGTCGTCCCATACTTGGTTGTTAGTTTTTATTTGTAGCTGGGTGATTGATTTGCGACCAGGCCTGCATATGAATTCGCCAAGGTTGTAAGCCAGTGAGCCCGTGCATTTTTGTTAAGCGGTCATATTTGAAAGTGTAAATAAAGGAAAGGGAAAACCCGCAGCTCTCCTTTCACTCAGATAAACAGTACAAGTCGTGTTAAATTTATTTACATAACTAAACAAAATGATTATAGAATTAAACCTTTAACAATTGAATGCTCATATCAAACATTTTGGCCACCTTAAATACACACGTGTTTTTCAGAAGGGAATTTAGTCGAACTTTTTTCACGATGGAATTTTGTTTTGAGTCGTTTCAACATAAACAGTCGCTATCAAGACATTACACGAAAAACCCCAGTCACCGTTCTAGCTCTCGTTGTAAAGTCAAAGCTAGTAAATGTGTAACCGACCTGTTACATAACGTCTACCTGTTGTATCGTCGAGCCGAAAATGCGACAAAGGATGAACTACGACTGTTGTCACTACCAAACACAACAAACGCTTTAACTCTATTGGAATACGTGGAGCTAAGCTGCCCTAGCTCTTTCCGCGATGTTGTAGATACCTCAAAGCTTAGAGGAAACAAGAGCTAAGAAAAAGGATTTGCAATGGTTCCTCCTAAGATACTTTGGACTTGAACGTCGCTTCAACGACCTTCTGAAGTCTTCGTGAAGTCGGTCATTGCTTCGCCATGGAGAACCCGCGTAGAACACAGAACAATTATTTTTATCAGGGAGGGGAGTCTCTTGGTATTAAAGAAAAAAATATTTATTATTTCATTTTTAAGATAAAATTCTATTTCTATAA